TTTGTTCTTTTCTGTGTTTTGTTGTTTGGTTTTTTTCAATTGCTGTCATCTGGTGTAAGAAGCTTCATCTGTGTATTTTTTAGCAACATCTGGTTTAATGGATGAGTTAATTCTCAGGGTAAACTACAAAGTCGAAGCAGTAGTGCAAACCTCTCCAGAGGGGGTGGAGCTACAGTGTATCTTCTCTGAGGCACAGTAGCTAGGGAATTGTGAGAAAGCTTATAAAGTATTGATTCAGACATTATTTGGGTTGAAATTAATCTGTTTGCCTTCAGGAAAGAGTTACATATTGCTCGGTACTTCAGATAGCATCTCACTGTGTGTATATAGAAAAATTAAACCTTGAAGGGAGCAGATTTATTTGTTTTTTAATCTGAATGTACTGATTTATAGTGAAAATATACCTTATGGTTTCACTGATTTCTATGGGTTGTGCTAACTATTTTGAGTGTATATGGATGGATAAGGGAGGCCACTTGATGGACAAGATAGAGCCAGTTTCCAAAGTTCTCCATAGTTACATGTTTGACTACCACTAAATTGTTACACAGTTAATCTGGAACCTTGCTAAATTCTGCCCTTTAAGTAATACAATGCTAGTTAGGGGTCTCTTCAGACAAGTAAATATCTCTAGACGAAAAAGAGAGACTTGGATTTGTGAGAACTAAGCCAAATGTCAGGGTCCAGATTCTTCTGTGGGATGAGTAATCTTGTGTATAAGTAATCTTAGTTGTTATCAAGCATCTTCCACAAAAACCTTTCTCACTCCAAGCAGCATCTACTCTGAATTATGTCTGTATGATCCCCTGGCCTTTCCATGACCGAGTGTCAGGTGAAAAGATGAGTCAATAAGCTTGGCATAAGTTGATATTGTTCAGTTGGATTGGCATGATATAAAAGTCAGCACTCAACACAGGAGACTTAAAAAGATTATCATCAGCTTGATAACCCAGATACAAAAGTCTGACATATGAGCAGGCCTTAAATAGTTTTACTCTTGTTAGAACAAAAAAAAATGGAGGATTAGTAAAACTGTGAATTAGGTGTAAAATCTGTCTGTACCATCAGCACCTGATGTTAAAGTTTATCTCGGAGCAGAAGGTGTAATTTTGAAGTATGCCTGTTCTAACAAGCATTTTATGGAGATGAATGATCACATTAGAGATTTTCTTTAGAAGTAATTTATTTCCTTAGCCTGATTCGATTTGAATTTTGACCTTTTAAGACTTCTGATCTAAATCCAATTAAGATGTTTCGGAAGAGCTTTAAAGACAATGAGAAGTCTGCAGCTTTCATGTTAAAAATGTATTAACTGTTCAGAATTAAACATTTAATTCCACAAAAGCCATATCTTTAAGGCTACACAGTCTTCACTCTACAGCAAAGCAAAGAATAATGGAAATTTGAGGAGAAAATCAGCTGGGTCTCTGTCTTGTGCTGTGCTCAATTGCCTGTGCTGTGTACTGCCCAGCCATTTTCCTTGCTGTGGTTTTCAGTGTTGAGCTTGAGAATTGGCCAAATTGGCTCAAGTATTAAGCAAATTTAGCTTAATTATCAAGGAAATGGTCCTACTCTGTTTTATCTTGTAATTAGCAATAATGTTTTGGACCACCCACACGAGCTCTTCTTTTCCCTTCTTTTCTGTGCTTTATGAAGGTAATTAACGAGGTTGAGGAGCAAAGCTTTAAATCTTCTGAACTACAGACCATATCTGATAAAGGGTGCAGTCTGTGATTCCGAAACCAAGCATATAATGCCCATAATTTAGAAATCTACTGCTGTTCTGCTTCATTTCCAATCAGTCAAATTGTTCGCATCAATTGTTGGAAGGTCAGATGTTCACTAATTAGAACAGGTGTGCATCTTAAATTATCTGTGGAAAATAGATAACAAAAGAATTCCACGGTAAAGATTTTCAATGTAGCACTGTCCAGTCTTCATTTTGGCAGTGATTTCAGAGGAAACTGTCTCTTTACTGTTTATACTGATAGGACTGTTACTCAGCATACTGGTATTTTTAAGCTCTTTGCACTGATACCTGAGTTTAGTGTTTCACTTGTCAGATGTTTGCGTGGCATTTTCCTCTGTGTGTTTCAGCTTGTGAAGTGCTGCTTTTCATCAGAGATGCTCTCTTCATGCAGGACAAAGTTCAGAATTTTATCTGGTAGTACATTATGTAGTAATTATTAGTATATCCTTCAGGAACGTAATATTTCTTGTACCAATACTAGTATAGCAGTAGAATTAGTGCAGTAACAGAGCTTGAGTAAGTCCCTAGCTTTGAAGGGGTGTTATTTTTGTATGTAGCAAGTACTGCAAGACTCCAGGAAATGCAAATATTTTTGCTTTTTCTCTCTGTACCGTGCTGGTTTACTACTGAAGGATAAGCAAACCACAGTTTATTACTGCAAGGTTTCTGTTAAATCCAGTCTCCAGTGCCATTTTCCTGTTTCAATGCACTGAATCTGCTTTCTTGCAACCAAATTCCTTCGTAGTTACAAGAAGACAGTGAAAAATAGATTAGTGTCTTCAACCATAACAGGCTTTGTAGCATATGGTTTTCCCTGGTATCCTTTGTGTTCTGCTCTGTCAAAAGTAGGACACATCCGGAGAAAGATGGTAGGGGAAGGAAATGTCCAGACCTTCTGGTGGGTGTGTCTGTATGAATCAGCAGGTTGGTTTGTGCTGGTGGTGGTGGATGCAGGATAATAAACCAAGTATGTCTTTGTTTATAGTAGTATAGGGGATATGGTTTAGTTAAGGACTTTTCAGTGTTAGGTTAACAGTTGGACTCGATTATCTAGAGAGCCTTTTCCAACCAAGGTAATTCTATGATTATGTGTGGAGAGAAAGCATGAGGCTTCTCTCTGAGGAGCTGTCAATCTAACTGAGCAGAATGGAGCAACCAGTCTCTGCATCAAGATGTTTTAAAATGCTAATCAGCTTGCATTCATTACTAAACACATGCAAATGAAATTAGAGTAACAGTGAAAGAAGCAAACATGATGTTAAAATGGTGTGAAACTGAGCAATCCTGGCATCTTGCAGTGGTGCAGATGCAGGGTGGGCAGCTACATGGGGCTGAGTGTGAGGTGGCAACAGGGTCACCTGCTGTTTTCTAATTAATCTTTCAACCACTATTTCCTTAACATGTAAGGAATGGACAGTTTAAACATTGTCACCGTTTGACTCAGGTCCGACAACAATGCTCTCGATCCCCTCCCCCCCCCCACCCAGGTAGGGAAGGAGAGAGAGAAAAAGAGAGAGACTTGGCTGGATTGAAAACTAAACTACACAGCTTTAATTAAAACACTAATGAATGATGAAAGAAAATATATACAATTATATACAGATATATTCAGGTATGGGCAAAAGCCTCTCGCCTCCCCCCAGCCCCAGCAACTCCCACAGCACTTCCCTGAACTGGGAAGAGTCCCGAGGAATCCCGGAGCTGCTGCTGGAGAAAGCACAGAGGGATGAGGGTCAGGAGAGCTCAAGCCTAAGGGTCGACGGTGATGGATGAACAGAGTCCTCCCCGGATGCCAGCCATGGCTGGAAGAGAAGGGAAGAAGAAGGAGGAAGGAAGTTGTCTTCTGTGTTCTCTGACCTTCCTTTGAGCTTACGTAGATATATAGAATGGAATATCTTTGGCCAATTTTGCTGTCTGTCTAACTCAGCCTCCTATAAGGGGGTCACAGATCTTCCCGTAGTGTCTGAGCCGGCAGAGTGCAGGTGCGGCCTTGAAGCCTCAGGAGTTAGAAAAACATTCCAGTGTCTTATCAGCCTAGCAGAACACACTGTTGCTAGTTAAAAGAAAGCCTACTGAAGGGAAAAAATCAGTAAAAAGAAAAATTGGCTTCATCCTGGCTCAAACCAGGACAAACATATGAATAGTTATGCAGCACAATTGTGTCTCTGTATGTCCTGTATCTGGGACATGACTCAAACCTGATATGACCTGCACATAATGAGGAGTGTGTAGAGTGGTAAGGAACATCAAGGTAGACACTAACAGGGAATGAGCCAAATCTTTTGCTTGTAAAGTTAAAAAGAATGTTGAGCCAAGCCATGAAGGAGTGAAGTGACAGAAGAAGGAACCTGGGGCACTGCTTAGAAGCAAGATGAAGTAGTGGAAATGATGGCAGCCATCCTTCTGGCTGAGAAAAGGTGAAAAATGCCTGCCGTAGAAGCTGCTGGTGTTTCAGGCAGATGGGTGGTCAGGCAGTGGCTGAGACCACTAATCTATTGTATCTGGGCATGAGGGCCATGTCTTTGAGAGGGATTTGGTCTGTTTTCTATGTGTTTTTCACCTCAAGACTGAAAGTGAGTCTGTGTGTGGTAGGTGAGATCAGCTTTCTGGGGAGCACGCAAGGCCAAGCAGAGAGGGCAGGAGGCTGCACCCTGGCCCTCGCTGCTTTGCTGTCAGCAAATGGCATCAGGGGCTCAGCATTTCTCCAGGGAGCACTGGCTCAACTTGGTCAGATGCTGCTCAAGGGCAGGGTGCAAGTGCCACTAAGGCAGCCTTAGGGTATGGCTGGGGTTTCAAATATGTATTTCTCCAGTATTTGTTTGGTTAACCTCTCTGTTTTAAGTGTCTATGAATTTCCAGGTCTCCTGCAATTAGTTGTGGGACTTCATGGTGATGTCCTGCATAAGTGTTGTCCTGTTAGTACCTCCATGCCAACATAAGGAAGGTTTCTGCCCCAGCTTTCCTGTAGCCCCTTCACTCACTGGAAGGCCACTATAATGTCCCCTTGGAGCCTTCTCTTCTCGAGGCTGAACAGCCCCAACTCTCTCCGCCTGTCTTTGTAGGAGAGGTGCCTCAGCCCTCTGATAATCTTCGTGGCCTCCTCTGGACTTTCTCCAAGCTCTCCATGTTATTCTTATACTGGGAGCTCCAGAACTGGACACAGTACTCCAGGCGGGGTCTCACAAGAGCCGAGTATGTTACCCATTGCCCTGAAGATTCTTTAATATGAAGATTTTTTTGTTTTTTTCAGATGTTCAAATGAAACAGTATTCAAAAAGGAGGATTTGTTCTGGGCATACAATTTCTGCCCCACTCCATACTCTTGGACAGCACTTCTGGGCCTTATTTTATACTTGGTTTTCTTTGCACCTGGTAAGCAAATGCGTGTTTTTGCATATAAGTTTAAAAATTGTTAAGCTAAAATGTCAAATAGTAAGGCTACATGATACATTTACTTTTGAGTCCAGCCATTAAACTGAAATTGATCTTTTTTTAATAATTCTTTTTTTCTTAGGGATGGGTCCTATGCCCTGGACTGTCAATTCTGAAATTTACCCCCTTTGGGCTAGAAGTACAGGAAACGCGTGTTCCTCTGGAGTCAACTGGGTTTTCAATGTGCTTGTGTCCCTGACGTTTCTGCACACAGCAGAATATCTGACCTACTATGGTAAGAAACAGTATGTGTCTGTGTATGTGCTGCCACCACTGGTGCAGAGATTTTCTGCTGATTCTGAGTTGCTTAATTGGTTTTGCTATGAGATGTCAACTGTGAATGCAGTGTTCTGAACTCATGATGGTTTAGTAAAACTAGAGACCTGGTACAACCTGCCTGGATCATAGAGTTTGGTCCAACTTTCATAAGAAATGCTTCTTTCTGTTCTTAACTGAGAACCTAGACAGTTGATTAAAACAAGGAAGCTGGAAAAAAACCCACTTGACTTAGTGAAATATGCTGATTCCCCCTAAAGGAGACAGCATCCTAATTTTCCAGTTTCTGGAGGTATCCAAAGCCAATATCAGATAGTCCTTGCAGAAATAGCTGTTGCTACTACCCCACTTCCAGCTGTTGATTAAGTCCTGTCTGCTGGAACCTGCAGAGAATTTGTCAGATTACTGCTCAGCCACTCCAGGACAAGTCATTTAAATCATGTTAAGCTGCTAGGGAATTGATGTGACCTTCACATCATTACTGGTACAGATTCTTTCAGCTTTATTTGTCATTCCTTTGAGTCATCAGTCTAGAAACACATGGCAGGTAAATGTTGGTCCTTTGGTACTTTCTCTGCCCCCCTAGGTAAGGTGGGTGACAGGGGGAACAAGCTCTTTCTTACTGCTAATTGTCTCTGCAGGGGACTTTTAAATAATAATTAAGTGTAAGAGTCTCAAGCATTATTTTAATCTTGACTTTTTGCTTAAGTTTCTCACTTCTGGGGGGTTGTCTTGTGTCCTTCACTGTTAAGATAAACTAAGAAAGTTCTTGTCTTTCATATCTGCTTTTTCCATTGGGTATGCAACTGTTTAATTATTTTTTATTTTAACAGTGGAATGACTTGTCCAAAGGAGATGTGTATTATCTTCCACATTAAATGAAATTGCTTTTGTTAATTTACTCCCTTGTGGAGCGATGCCATAAAGCAGCCTTCTCCTACACCCCAGGCCCCACAGCTTGTTGTTTTAATGATGCCTCTCCAAGCATTGCTTTTACACACTCCCTTTGATATCTGCAGCCTGCTGCTCCTGCTGCTCCCTCTGCTCTGGAGCAGAAAAAAGATGGGAACTTCTTTGACTGACTGTGTATATTGTTTTACATTCCAGGAGCCTTCTTCCTCTATGCAGGGTTTGCTGGCTTGGGACTGGTTTTCATCTATGGCTGCCTTCCTGAGACCAAAGGGAAGAAACTAGAGGAAATTGAGTCTCTGTTTGAAAGCAGGCTGTGTACATGTGGTATGTCAGATTCTGATGAAGGGAGGTATATCGAGTATATTCGGGTGAAGGGAAGCAATTACCATCTTTCTGACAATGATGCTTCTGATGTGGAATAATTTTCAGCTGCTGATGTATTTAATCATTTAAAAGCCTTCTGGGGGGAAAAGCAGCTCTCTGATGACCTCACTACCCTGCTTCTGGTCTGGTTCTCCTTTCTACTGTCTAGTTAAAAATGCCTTCATGTTCAAAAAATACTCTGTCTTGGGAGGAAATTTAATATTCTAGTGTTTTCTTGATAACTAAAAGCAATGGCTTCCAAAAGAGATTGCATTCCACGATTATGTGAATTCACCAAGCGTGCACGACCGAGGTATTTAGTAGGGTGCACTATACCAGATGAATACAGAAGGTTATCCTAGGTGGTCAGTGGTTGTCCTTATCTTCAGTGCTGACAAAAGATAAAATAATACAATAGCTAATCAGAAAGCAGCTGACATCTGTCAGATCCCCATCCCATAGCAGCCTAGCAGATAGCTCTGCTGTGCAGTACATCCAATGATGAATGCATAAGCTGCTGTAAGGGTAGCCATTTAGAGGGTTTACCTCACTAAGAAAATACAAAGATCTGCTATATCTGTCAGAGGGAACATCTCCCAGATTTACCCTAAGACAATTTCCGTTTTTATTTATTTGAGATAACAAGTAGAGAGCCACGGCCACCTGGGTAGAGGTTCCCTAGGGTGCTGTGGGTCTGTGTTACAGCAGGTTGTCCAGCCACTGCTGCTCTGCAATTAACACTACGGCTGGGAGTTGGTGTTTGTGAGAGAAACTGCCAGATTTAGCTGCCTGACAGCAGGACAGCAGAAGATGTACAAATGAACTGGTACATGTTCCTAGGTACAATGTAGAGGCTTCAGTTAGTTGGAAAAAAATATTTTTGTTTTCCTTTTTTTTCCTAAGAATATTTGGGTCTATGCCTAGTTTTGAACACAAAATATCATGAGCTAAAAGAAAGAAAAGGAGGGGAGAGGTTTTGTGCTGCTAAATGCACAGTGGTCATCTAGCACTTTTTGCTTGCAAATAATCATATTGCCTTCAGTTTATCTTCATTTGTGCAGAGTAAATGAATCCTAACACATTTTTCCTTCAAATGCTTTTAGTCAACCAGTGTCTTGCTGGATTTAAAGGGAAATATTAGCAATGGGCAGAAGCCTTCATGTCATATTAATTACCTTACTGAAGCATTGCAAACTTGTCAAGAAAATGTCAGGCACAAAAATCAACTTGGCTGCCTTTAGCCTGGTAATGAACATGTGAATGGTATTTTATTCACCTGCCATGCTCGCTTGCCTTGGCAAATTGAATTTTATGCAGCTACATAAAAATATTATGGTGGGGTTTTTTTCCATGCCCTTTCCTCACTGCTTTAATTCTTCAAAGATGTGAGTTTGAAACCATCAACAATTCAAATTCTTATCTTTGAAACATTTACTTCATGAAAGAATGTGGAAAATCTCCTCTGACTGTGGGCTGTCCCCCATTCTTTGGTAAAAATACAGTTATTTTTCATTGTGTAAAGATTAAAGAAGTTGTTAGGTCTATTAGCTTTTATAAATTTGCTTTGTGGACTTTTCTTGGGTTAAAAAATGTTTTCAAAGTAGAATTACTATCAAAACTGAGACTGGAAATTTGTTACTAAATTATTTTTATCAGATAACATGAGGTTTTGTTGTTGTAAAGAGAATTGTCATTATGTTACCTGATCTCCTAGGGGGGGAGACTGAACTTCAGCAATTTGGTGTATTTTATGTTATTTTCTTTTTTACTTCATTAATCAAAGAAGTATTTGTGGAAAGAAAACATTTTGAAGCATCTTTCTCTGACTTGACTGGGACTAAAGGGGGAAGCCATAGCTGGCAGAGGGAATTTTAAACGGTGAGAGGGCTGGATTCTCACCCCTTCCGTCTCTCCTCCCCTTTAAGCGCACAGTATTTCTATGCTTAAAAGCACCAGCTGTTGAAAATGCTCAAGTCTCCAGGCCTATTTTCCAGTGCACCTGCCATGGGATGTCTCTATTAGGCTGTCACCTCTTTGAAACCTTTACCGAAGGTACAGTACCTGAAATGAGAAAAAGGGTTACTTGGCACAGATGAGAACAAACTAGTTCTAAGGCGAAATTGGTTTCTCCCTGAAACTGGAAAATGAATGTTTGAAGACAATTGTTTGGTACAGTTTTGTCATGCAGAACAGCATGTGAATAGGTGTGTCACACCCAGCCTGTGCTCATGTGGTCTGCTACACAGAGAAAGGCTTCAGTAAGTGTTTCCTGGCTTTTCAGAGTAGGGACTCACAGCTCTGACCCCCCCAGAAGCAGGAGCCCAGACTCATCATTACACTTAGGAATGTTCCCTTGCTTAGCATCTTCTGCAGGAGCAGGGTGCAGGCCAGGGAGGGTGTCCCTGTGCCAGCACCATCTCAGTGCTGACCCCACTCTTCCTTGCACTTGTGTCCATCCACAGGGAGAGGAAACCACTGCGCTTACTGGGCATGTTCAAAGCAAAGTCACTGTCACAAGATCAGCCTCTTTTGTTTTGCAGGCAGTGCTGGGGCTTTTTAGCAGCAGAAGACCATCTTTCTCTGCCAGCCTTGTTTCACGGATGTTCTCAAGGGGTGCTCGGTTGCTCAAAGCACTGGGCTCATTTTCTCATGCAACAAATTTGATCTTACTGGAGCAGTTTTCTGAAGGTTTGCATCCCGTGCCCTTTTTCTTGAGGCAAAATGATTGAAACAACTGCATTTTATTCATCACTGCTATTGGCTATGACAGTGCATTGGCTTCTTTATTGTCACTCCCCCTTTCCCTCCGTCAAAGAGTTGGGTTTAAGTCTTCCTTTTAGGGTTACTTTACTCCAGGACAATATTCCATATCTTCGAAACACTGAACCCAGTACCAAGCATCACGTGTAATAAAAATGAGATCAAATACTTGAAATTAATCTTACACAATTAGGGTTTTATTTTTAGAACCTGTGAAAATGTATAATGTATGAAGAAAATTAAACAAAATGTTTCTATTTTGCAAAGGTTTTTTATATTTGTTCATATTTTAAGTTTTAAGAGATTTTTGCTAAAGGTGGACTTAGTAACATTCCAGATAAAAGAATAAGAAAAAAGTGTAGCTGAATAGTTTCTTATGACAGGATTTTAATTTATGAAGTAGCATAAATGGTATGTCTAAGCACAATATTGTTTTATTGAAAGCTTTTCTGCAGAAGTTGTGAAATTGTTTCTTCACAAGGACTGCACACTTAATTCAGGTATTCTGTGCATCAGGAATGCTAGAGTAATACTGCTGGTAGACTTGGGCATATTGGTGATACACAACAATTTGAGATATTTTAATTCTGATAAATCTACTGGCTCTATATGTTTTGGCCTAAGAGCAAGTATAAAATAAACAAATCCTGATGCATTTTTCATCTTTTTAAATTTGATTCACATACAGTAGTTTGTTCACCATGGTGCAAATCTAAAGTGTTGGGTGGACTGAGATAATTTGCCACTTGTTTCTTCTTCTGGTCACTGATCAAAAACCAGTTTTTAACAAGAGCAGCAAACCTGTTTTGAAGATAGAAATGAAGCAAGGCCCCAGGACTCATTTGAGGGGGCTGAAGTTGCATTGCCTTAGATCACACTCGTACATATTGCTACCTAGTGAGTTGCAGTGATAGCTGTGTCAGAAATGTTGGGATGCATTCCAAGGAGTATTGTTCCAATGCCAATTTATTTTTGTGTGAGTTGGAAAAATCTGCATTTCACTGGTGTAGGAGATAGGGTTGGGAGGGGAGAAGGAAGAAACTGTGCATCAAAAGCCCCACAGTCATGTTTCAGTAGAGATGGGTGTCATAGCCAAAAGGAGCCATGTCTGACTTCTCTTCCATGAGAGAGAAGGTGGGATGAAGGGACTGTGCTTGTTTCTGTGGGTGGGAATGGGAGTGAAGAAGCACACAAGTGTTATTCTCCTGTGCCCATGCGGAGGTGAGAACATGTCAATGGCGTTTGCAAAACTACTGTTTTTTTCCTTGGTGAAATCTCTTTTGCCCTCCTTAGTCACTCTGAACACTGGGGAGTAGTTTTGACTTTCAGGACCTTCTACAGGCCCTGACAGGGCCTTTGCTTTGGCCATGAGGGTGTTTGGTGCTGTCCCACAGGCAATGGACTAATTAAAGGTAGACCCTGCACTTCTCAGCTTTATACCCAACTTCCTATTTCTCAACATCAACACTATTATAACAGGGTCTTGACATTTTACTTGTACTTGTGTAAGAAGCTTTCTTAGCTGAACATGACTAAGTGAGAAAGGCAGAGTCTTCATAGCATAGAGACATCTCGGGGTAGAAATCAAGGCAGAAGAGACAGTTCTGCAAAGCACTTTAAAGAGTAGGATACTTGTGCAGTTTTATTCTGAGAGAGTCAAGCTGACCAAGCCCATCCCTCTGCATTGGGAAGAAAATCCAGCTCAGTGTACCAGGCCAGAAGCAGATAATGCCACAATACGTGCTTTATGGCAACATGTGTCTTTATTGCGGGTAACATTTACAGCTTACATGTAGCTGCTGCCTATCAAGTGACTCAATTGTTCTCTGGATTTTAACAAGTCACATTTTTGTGCAAGAATCTTAGCGGTTTTCTATGGATCTTCATCGCCTTGTGTACAGTACAGTTAAGCATAATCCACAAAGTGGTCTAGGTTGTGGCAGTGTTACAGATGTCAACACAGTAAAATCTAGGTGAACATTGTTAAAGAAATATTGTTGTTTGTGATACTGGAGGTAAAAACTCCTTAAAGGCACCTATCTATAGATTTTAAAAGTCTGAAAAAAATGGCAGTTCTTATCTATTTTGTGTATGTTTTCATATAGAGAAAGAGTTTTTTATGTGCCAATAACCATCTCTGTAGTGTTTTGTAACTGAGTGTTACTGGTGTTGCAGAGTTCTGTATATGGGAATATACTTTAGCCACAATGACCTGTTGTTGTGAACCAGCAGCATGTTTATAACCTTACTCACACCTCTCATCAGAGGTGCTTGCTCATCAGCTTCAGTAGAGCTCACT